TATGCCTTGGGTGGCAGGGGCTCTCATTGCCCTGTGTCTAACTTCCCAAAGGTAAACCACAAAAGACAACGGGCATCTCCTCAGCTCTGCGTCACATGGTGGCACTGAAGGACGATGACATTAAAGGTTTCACTACACTAGATACTGGAGCAATGGGAACACCCAAGTACCCTGGTTGTGAAGATGGGAAAAGTCTATTTCAATGGAAGTCCAAGAAGTGGCACCCACATGATGCCACCCTCAAACCCAGGTGAAATCACAACCAGAAATTACAGCCTTGTTCTAATCCTGGCTAATTCATGCCCAAGACAGATGCTCTCCTCCAGAAAACCACCACAGCACACTTAAACTCCAGCTTTTGCCTTCACGTTCCTTGTCTTAGGGCAGGCCCATTTACATAGCAATGACCTTGGACCGATTAGAAAAGCCTTGGCCCAAGAGTACTGTAAATGTATTTAAGTCTATAAACATATACCCCAAGATAGCCATAAAAACCACATTCCAGTGTACGTTTTAAAATACTACCAAAAAGGGGTTAAAATAGAGGAGGGCTCGAGGCCACCAGTGCCCCACACATTACAACATAATATATGTGAGCACAAGGTTAAACAGCCATGCCCATGCGTAGGGTGCATGAAAAACTAGCAAGTGGAAGATTAATTGCCTGCACAAATGCTATTATTCCAACTAGCAGCAAGAATAAGAAAGAAAGTGGCAGTGATGTTGACAAAGGCAGTTACTATATCTGTACGTTTCTTTTCTCAGATTCAGGCTGTAAAACCATTCTGGAGTGACTGCTCATCCCCTTCCCCATGCAGTGCTCGGGCTGCTCCTCCTCACTCGCATTTGCTCTTTGTTTACCCAGCCAGCGGCACTGGCAAGTGACAAACTTGACGTGCCAGATCCCCAGAAGTCCTGGGCACCCCACAGCCAGGACACTGCCACCCAGGGACCTTCAGGTGAGCACCAGCAGCAACCTGCACTGTTTTAAGGTTTCTCTGCACAGCCAGAGTAGTGTAAAATGGCTTAAATGTATGGGAGAATCAGGCCCCAGATGTACTCCCAGACTGCATTAGCTATTTAAACATACAGAAAACAGCGAGGTATTACAGTGTGGCACAGACTGATGCCTTCAGAAGCGCTTACAGCAAGCAAAGCGAGACAGCAGCCACACACAACTCCCCTTTGCCTTTGCCCCCGCCACAAGGGGACTGTGCAGCTCCTCACGGGGAGCCAAGGAGGAACCAGAGCAACCCCTCCAGTCGCGCCTCCCAGACTCTATGCCATCTCCCAAGCTTCTGCCCATCCATATCTATTTATGGGCATTTTACAGTGATCTACCTGCCCCTGCAGCCACTGGTAGAACTTCAGGGGAATGTTCTGCCAGCTCTGTTTCTACAATCCTTTTTAATATACAGCTCACTGACACTTTACAATTTCTCACACTACAATGCAGAGCGCCCGGTTGTTCAGATGTGTATTTATTTTGGGGTCATGCCTTTTAAGTGCCTGACCAGAAAAAAAAAATGGCTCAGAGCATGATCACATCACTGTGAAGTGTATACTTGCATTTTCAATCTAGTAATTCACACTCGCAAACAATAAAATTACCTTCTTCTGTCACAAAGGAAAGCTGTTATTGCTGCTTCCCTCTCATGCATACAGGCCTGGATCTTTCTTTCTGATTCACCCACAGCTTAAAGCAGAAGCTGAATTCTTCTTGCCTTGTCCGGTATGGCTGTGTGCTGCTAGAGAGATATGATGGCCCACGGCAAGTGCAGGGGCATTTTAAACAGTGATGTGAAGTGACCCCTAGAGAGTGGCTATGATTTAAAAGAAATGACTGATAGCAGCAGATATCTTCATTTTGAGAGAGCTGAACCAAAACACCTATAGAGGCCTAATTTTCAGACCCTGGCCATCCCTGTATTTTGAATATGTTTTATGGCTGGATGCAAACACAATTGGTGTAAACTAGGGAGGAAAGGAAGGACGCTAAACTAAATAATCCCCAGGTTTCCAATGTGAAAGGCAAGAAATCCCACCTAAATGTGAAAGGGCTTCTGCAAAGAGGAAGCAAGACTTTGTTCCTAAAGCCCACATTGAACAGGACAAGAAATAACAGGCCTAAATTACATCGGAGGGAAAATTTAAGCTCAATGTTAGGACTAAACAATGCCAAAGCATATCTCACGGGGAGAAAGCTGCAGATAAACTGCTTAAGGAAACCTGCAATGCCTGCAGTTGGCAAAGGTGAGGCATAATATTTGTGTTACAGGTAAGCAGCAGGCACTTTGGCCAACAGCGAGGAAAGCTTAGGCTTCTCTTTGTGTATGTGTCTCTTGTCTGAAATGAAAGCTTTCCTACGTATGCTAAAAAATCGAAATAATATTACTCCTATTACTAAACCACTGTTTTTCACAGGTACCTCTCAACAGCAGACCATTGCTGCTCAGAACAGGAACTGGGGCTGCAGAAACAGTGACCTGCTCAAGGTCACCATGGAGCCATGGCAGGAGGAGGAACAGCACCTGCCCAGCCTGCCCCATCCACAGCCAGGGCTTGCCTGAACACTGGTCCTGGCAGAAGGGGACACGGCTGCCCGCACAATGTGACCCTCAGGCATGCTTGCTGGTATGCAAACACATCGACTGACCGTCTCACTCTGGACGGCCAAAGCAACATCAGGAGATAAGCGACTGAAATGCCATTAACAGGAAATATGGCGGGCCTCCAAAGTGACTAATAAACTTAATGTAAGAAATAAGTTCCCGCAGTCAGACAATAAGCAGCAGCAGCTGCTGCCACACTGCTGCCACCAAAGACTTAGTAAAACATGCAAGCGATGTAATAACCCACTCAACGTGGAGAAAAGCCCCAGGAGACATTTTCAGTAAACCAAATGTCAAATACTCTGTCCCCACCACAATGATAACTATGTCGACACACAGTAACACAGATAGCATCCTATTAGCTGTAACAGCTTTGGAGGGTCAGCCAGACCCCGTGCAGCTGGTGTACTCATGGTGCCTCCTGAGAAGAGAGGGAAAGACAGGTTATGGGGATGGCAGGGGGACAAAGCAGAGCTGAGGCCCAAGAAGGCGATTGTGCAGCACAACTCTGCCGTGCCAGCTGTTCCGATGCACTTCACGTTTGCATTGACTTGCTGGAGGATTTTGGCTTACAGAATGCATTTTCTATGCAACTTTTGGAACACAAGTGAGTGCGGTGGACTGCGAAGGAGGAGGCAATGTCACCTCTGGGGACAGCAAACACAGTACAACTCCGAGATTAGTAGGATCAGTCTCACCTATTTTTTTTTTTCACCTTCCTCCCCTTCACACACACCCCATGCCAGCTGAGCTTGCCTTCATGCTGGGGACAGAGCAGCATTCTGTATGCTTGTCAAATCTGTAGGCCAGTGCAACGCGTATTATATGCAAAAAATGACAGACAATTTAGCCTCATTCAAAACTCTCAAAGCATGAGCAGTAACCAGTCAACTGGACATAATACTAAGAGAAATACTAGAGTCATGGGTATTATTAATGCACATTGTATGAACTGGTTTTTCCTAAACACATACTCCACCTGCTAATCACCCTCAGACAAAAAGATGTGGGGAACGACAAGCAAATCCCAGACCCACTTCTACAGGGTGGTATGACTCTGCTAGGAACGTGTGTCTGTCCTGCCCCATGTTTGATCTGCGGCTATCCAAACCAGCAGAGACACCAATTCCACACGGGTAAGGAGGTCTTTGACCACCAGGAAGCACAGATAGCTGCTAGCTCAGGCCCTGCATATCAGAAACAAAAATGTACTTGATTTGTTTGCTAAATAAACAGAAGTGTGTATGTCTAATCTCACAGTGCCCAAGCCACTTCTGTCCCACTCTTCCTGTGATCCAGGTAAGTGGGTGGCAAAAGTGTCCACCTTAATGTGGCTGGAGGCACAGCTTGCACACTACACACCGAACAAAATTGTTTTTATGGCAAGAGGATGTAGACAATATTCAGAAGTCAGAGCAGTTTTCTCATTTGAAGAAAAAAAAGAAAAAAAGAAAGACTCAGGAAACTGTGAGAAAGATGCACGATGAAACAGCTCAGGTCTTATTATGGACACAAAGCGTCCTAGTGCCAGCTTACTGAAGAGCTCTCATCCAGAAGTCTGTGCGAGATCCCAAATGACTGCAGCCTAAGAACAGCATGAATTTGGTTTTCATTTCGCAAAGACAAATGACATCTCTCTTTCTCTCTCTCTCGCTCGCTCTCTCTCACAAAGCACAACCATGTTCCACAACCCAGAGAAAGATGTTTCTCAGCCCTTCTACATCCATTCACTGGAAAAATTATTCCATTTCCTTCCCATTAAAAGCTCAGTATTTTGAGATTTATGTTAAAAAAGTAATATTTAAGAAATACAGGTGTATATGTAGAAAAGCTATCTAGTAACCATGCACAAAACCTTACTAATTAGCACATTAAAATATTATAGTCTTCCAATAACATTATTCCCTTTAAAAAAAATCATAAACACAAGCAACATTTAGGCCTTGAGTGAATCTTGACTGAAATATTCTAGTTACTGACTGATCTAAGAAAATGCATAATAAACAGAATTCAAACCAGTTGCCATTTCTGTTAAAAGAGAAGTTCTTTGCAAGTTTCAATTATACCTGAAGACACCAGAAAACTTCCTTGTCTATTTCCAAAATAATTCCATAAACCTAGAAGATGTCAAAATCAGAGGAGTTTTAAAGCAGGAACCAAAACGTAGTTATCAAGATGTATGAAAATTTCTTGTTTGGAGTCACGGTAATTACAGAGTGAAAGCTCAGCCAGACTGCCTGGACAGATGTGACCACAACACCCAGGCGATGATGCCAGTGACAAATGGTTACCTGATAAGAAGAAATGGAGGGGGCGACAGACTGAAGAACAGGTCAATATCACGCTGTCATGAAGCCATTTGAGAAACATAATTAATCTATTACTCACCTGGCATCATCATTCATTGTACAGTGGTCAATAGGCGCCATGAAGCTCACCAGCTTGCTATGGACATGATACCTGAATAGTGCAGGAAATAAACAGGCAGCACATTAGTAACTATTAATGAAAAGGAAATGTTGCTGCTTGAATAGAAAGATACCAGTCCCTGAAATGCAAAGCACTGGCTTTCCTGGTGGCTGATATCTAATGAGTCCCTAGCCATAGCTGGCAATTCCTCCTCCCTTCCCTCCTCCTTTCTTACAACATGGACAGAAGAATAATCAGATTATAATCAGATTATACAATAGCAAGCAAATCCTTTTTTATCACAGCTACAAAGAGGACACACAGCATCCATTAACTGTGCGTGAGGACCTAATCAGACTCCAGACAGACAACCCTGAGAAGCCACAGACAAACAGGAACTGGTTTTCAGCCATGTACTCAGCCAGTGTCTTCATCACCTCCTGGAGTCTGTGCCCAAAGAGCTCATTGCAGGCAGCAGTATTATCAGAGCACCAGACCTTCTTAAGCACCCATCTGCTACCACTTTTTCCTTGCTCTGTGGTATCTAGGGCCCTAAAGGATCTCACAACCCCACTCCACTAGCCATCTCCGTACTTGTAAAGCCTTACCCTGAATAACTTACAAACGGAGCACGTAACAACAGGCAAAGAAGGAGGAGACAGGAAAAGGACCTGTGCAAAGAAGAGATGGGGGACAGCCAAGGTGATACAGTGCTGCATCTGTCTCCGTTTCTGAGCAACCAAAATATTTCTGCAAGGGGTACTGCATCTCCAGATACGGGATCCTCTTCCTGCTTTCACTGCGCTAGGAACTTGCAGTAGATTTTGTGACTTATATTCAAGGACCTGACATAAAATTTAAGAGAGTACTGAAAAACACAGCAAGAAAAGGTGGCTTTAAACCCTAGGGCAGGGGATTCCAAACCAACAGCTTTCGGTGTACACTACCATGCTGCCTACCCAAGTCTGAAATGTTTTATCCGAGCTGCTGCTATTTTTAGAGCTTGACAAATAGCAGGCAAAAGGATTCACAAGCATTTGCCCAGAATCACCTTTCCACTCTGTCACCTCTGTACTCTCTTTTGTTTGCTTATGCAGAAACATTCCCTCGAGGGGTTTTTTTAGCTCACAAGACTATTTCAGAATGGCTCTTCAGGCACAACACACACTCACCCTTGCACAAGGGCTTCTCTGCACAATCAGGTCTTTGTCGCTCCTAATGGAAGCAACTGCCCTGGTCTAACATCTAACACCGTCATGAACGAGTCAGGGAAGAGCCATAGCCATGCAGGGCTAGAGCTGCGATGAACAACAGGCCAATAGGCCAGACTATGAAATAGTTCACTTCCGAGATATTAACAACTGATGGATTCATACAGATCAAAGCTTATACAGCAACAGGCTGCATAGTGGCAAGGGTACTTAGCAATTCAGATAAATTCACTGACATGAGTTGTTTGTCCAGAACTACTTACTGTCACATTTTTAAATCAGGACCTTACAAATCGCAGTCTAGCAGATATAAAATACTTAATTTCATCCACAGAAAGGCATCTCATGTTGCAGCAGCACAGGACCAGAAATCACCAGCATGAAAAATAAGGGTGCATGCGTCACTCCTTTGTATCTACCTCAAGAAAAGGCTTGTCCTAGTGAGGCACAGCAGAGTTCTAGGCACCAGGTTTCTTAAGTTCGACTGCGGAGTTTTCAGATGAGCTCACTTCTCCTCTTAGTGCCCCAATTTCCCTGTCTATGAAGGGGACAGGTACTCATGTCAAGTGGAAGATCGACTGCTTTTGAAAACACTTGAAGATCTTCAGATCCTACAGTAAACTAAGAACATTTCATCCACACATGCAGTAATACTGAAGGTTTGATAAAGGATTGCGAAATGAAGAATTATGGAGACAGATGAAAGTTAGTATTGAATACTCAGCTCTCTGGGATCTCAAAAGTCCTTCACAGAAACCAATCCAAGTACTGCTGCCCCACATTTAGAGAAGGAAAAAGAAGAACAGAGGATAAGCGATCTGCGTGGGGTGACACCAAGTCTCTCAGTGGGAGAACCAACTATTTGGGCTCTACTGGACTATTCTGAAAAGATGCTGGAGCTTAACTGCATGTTAATCCCAAATATAGACAATGATACTTATTTCTTTTACTAATATTTTTCCTGCAGGGTCAGTACAAATTTTATTTAAAGAAGGAAAAAAAGGCACCCAAGATCTAAGAGGCAATTGACTTGGTGAGACAGCTGATCTCTCAGGAATGCTGTAGTGCAGAGACTGCACCCAGTGAGAGACTTCCCCGTTATTCCTGGAGGTTTATGAGTCTGACTCAGTTGTGTGATGTTGTCAGTAGTTTTGACTGAATCATGAATATATCCAATTATGTGTGATGCTGACAGAAAAGAATACTGATAGTCAATAATTATAGGCTTTTCAGGCCAACAAAGTAGCTCTTCCCTCTTTTAATAAATTATATTATGACATCTATCTTAAAAATTGCTATGCCAGGCTTGACCCAGACTGACTCCACTGACTTTCTATCAGATGCCATCTAAACTCACGATTTATAGTTTACTCACAAAAGGATGGTTAATGTTGCGGATTTTTCAGGAAGCAGCGCAGCTTTTCAACATGCCTCCCTGCCACAAACGCCTCCTCCACTACAAATCATGCAGTCATGCTAAACTCAGGGAGACTAATATATCTGCTCTGCAAAGGGAAAAAAATCCCGTCCTCTCCAGACTGCTTCCCTTTCCACCCTACTGCGTGTATTCCCCTGGAAACACAATAGGAGAGATCAACCCAAATTAGTGATCCAGGAGTCAGGATGTGAAATGTTTTGAACCTAAAGAAAGCCGCAATGGGACTTAGAAAAATAAAGAGAGATTAGACAGTAAATTCCAATTGACAGTCAGTGGGAAACAGACATCTGCCTTGCTGAGGCATTTCTGCACATCTTCCCCTAGAGCTGCTATTCACATTTTAGTCAGCTAAATATATATTGCACAAGAGGTGTTTATTGGCTTTCACTGGAAATTACAGCCCCAAATCGTTTAGGGACATCTGAACTCCTCTCTCCAGTGTCTTCTGAAACCAACAAACACCCTTGCCAAGACTGATCTGGGCAATGCTCACAGGCTGCATCCAAGCAAGCCCTTATTCTAGGCTCAAAGAACATTAAGATTCCTCAGTGGATACCCAGAGCAAGACATCTTGCCCTGAAAGGCATGAATAAGCCTACCAACGCGCCCCAGAGCCAACCCAGCGCAGCCAGACTTTATTTGGCAAAATCAGACCTTCTTGCAGGAACTGTTACCCACCGGATTCTCCTTCCTTTACTGGCTTTTCTGTCCACTTTCTTCTTTATTTTGCTTCGCAACTTCTGGATGGCCAGCCATTGCCTGAGGGACACCAAACGACAGTTACAAAACTGTTAGAGGCACCAGCAAAACGAGCATTAGGTACACTGGGGCCTGCGGCCCTTCCAGCCCTTGCACCTATCGCATTTACCAGACCCTGCTGCTTCACTCACGCACGTGGCATTGAAACATTCAGTGCTTCTCCTGCCGCCAGCCACAGCGGGACACGCAGACCAGACCTGCTGCCCCCAGGAGATCGTCGCTGTTCAGTGACAGTGTTCTACCTGCAGGGAAACCCACGGAGGCCACAAGCTTGGCTCTATTTTCTGTCCTTTCTTGATTATTCGTTTTGTTTTTTTTTTTAAGTTTAGAATTAAAAGGAAAATCTTTAGAAAATATAAATGTTAAAATCTGCAAAAGAAGTCTTTAAAGTTACTGGTTTTTTTCTTTCAGCCTTGATTACTCGAATGACTTCTGTTTTGCATATAGAAAGCCCATAACAGAATAGATGGTCTGTCACATCCCAAGCTGATTCTTTGAGATAGGTTATGCTAACTTCACAAACAGAATTACCATGACGCAGTAGATGCTCTGAATTTATTTTCGCCCTCAGTTTTTCAAAGTATATTGAAAATTAGAAGCAACTATTTCTCCACACCATCTCCGACTTAAACCTGGCAAACCTGGCAAGAAGCCCTATATAATGCTCTTTTACTACACAAAACTACAGAAGAAAGAAAAACATTAAACACTTTGAGAAAGTGCTGCCTGATGCCTGACAGTATTCAGGGAGAGCTCAACTCCTCAGACAGAATTCCATCAAGTCAAAGAAGTTTTCAGCAGGGAAAAACTTCTACTAGTTATAAATATTTTTTCACGAAAACGAGCGTCATCTTACCTGATTTACATGAAAACTCGACATCAGGGGAAAAAATCTAGCAAAATCCAATTACTGCAATCTTAATATAATCTTAATTACTGTAATCTGTTTTATTGTAAAGTCAGATAAATGTACAATGTAATCACCACTTAAACGTAATTTTGTCTATATCATGTTAAATTATAGTGAATAGCTTTCCCTAATATTCCAGACATACACAAAATAAATTTAACAAATTGCACTAAAATTTGGGTAGTATTTTACAAGGATAAAAGTTATTTCACCACCACTAAATTTCTTAATGTATTTTCTCCCCCTCCCCACATTTTCAGTGGTGAATCCCACTCCGGCATTTTCAGCCTTCCTCTGCTTTTGCACTTTTCTAAATTACAGCCCATGGCTATTTAGATGTACACTGTTCATTAAGTGGTATTTGGAAGATTCTTTATTTTCTAACTATAGAATTTAACTGAGATATAATATATATAACTGAGATATATTCCCTGCATGGAATTATATTTTACTTCTGCATGCAGGAAACACTCCCTGATACTGTTTTAATTGTATTGTATGTTTTCCTACAGCAGGGACAGAGCATCCATAGGAATTTCGTTAACTGATCTCACCGCAGAAGGTTTGCTCCTCTAAAACAACGACAAATCAGAGCTCACCATGAGAAAAGTTCTGGTTTCAGCTGCCACTTTGTCTAGCTTCTCCTTGCTAAGGTTGGTTAAGACACCCCTCCATGGATTCCCTTTGTGCTGCCTGAACCACCAAGAGACAGAAACACCCAAAATGTGGAACAAGCTTTTACAACTGGAAAGGATCTTCGGGGATCGCAGACAAGCCAGGGTACTGCTCAAAGGAAGGCAAACTCGGAGTCGGACAGCGTGATCCACAACTAAAGAATATCTTACAGAGGATGACTAATGTCATGCTGTTTTATTAATTTATTATGCAATTTCTTACACCCAGATGCTTTCTCCAGAGTCATGCAAAATTTTGCCCTCTACAATGAACTGGCTTGCAAGTCCACTTCTGGACTGGAATGCAGTGCTGTAGTGAAGCTAACCATGTTACAGACACCTTCCTACTTACTTGCCCATCGCCACCTGGTCATTGGGGTCCAATGAAGTGGTTTTACGTTCTATGAATTCTCGAAGGAGCTAGAAGACAGACAGAAAACAATCCCATTTAAAAGCACAGTAAAGACACGTTAATGCAAACAGGCTCATAAGATTCTCAGAAGACTGAAGAAATTAGCTGTCAAGATCCCAAGGGAACCTGTATGCCTCATTTCTTGAAACTCCCCAGAAAACCCCACACCAACAACCAAGGATTTTTTTACATTTCCTCTGCACAAGTTTTCCAAAGGGAAAAAGCTAATAGCTCTTAAAAGTTTCAAGCAAGGAAGCAAAACTCTATGCTAAAATTGTAAGTAACTGTAGATCATACCCCTCTTCCAAAAAGGTCCCTATAGGATGTGACTGGGGCATAACACTGAAGGCTGCTACATAATTTCAGATGAACCTAGGTTCATAATTTCAGATGAACCTAGGAGTTGTACAGTCCTCCCTTCAGCACATCATGGTTTATTCAGCCAAACCATAGCATCATGTCATTCATCTGAAGAGAATCTACAAGGTCACACAGAGCCAGAGGGGCACAATTCAGCAGCACCACAGTCCAAGCACAAGATGACCCATGCGGGCAAAGTAAGCTGCTGACCTTTGGTCTAAGCAATGAGAAGGACTGGGATTCCCAGGGGCACTGCAGATCCCTCTGGAGTTGTCTGGTGGGGCAACCGTTTGGTCACTGTGCATCCCAGGAGCCCAGAGCAAAGTGTACAATCACAAAGAGGGCAAATAGGTGGCAGCCTTGGGGGGGACACGAGCAGCCGAGCCTGATGTGAGATGGTTGTTTCTCAGCCGAGAGGCAGAATGAAGAACCCGGCCTGTGTTTCAGAGGCTGGTGCTGTTCCTTGGGCTTTTCAAAGGATAAAAAAAGGCTCGAATCTTCACAAGCTCTTGTGTACACAACTCCCATGGGCAAGAGATGTAACGCAGGCAGATCAGCAGGAAAAACAGGTCTCACCCCACACTTCGAATGGGGAGGGCAGGGGGAACCGAAACACTTCATCAAACAGAAGGCAAGCACTGCTGGGCAGTAACGCTCGCTCTGAGGAACAGCACAGCAAAATAATTTTTATAGCTAGAGCAG